CTACCACTCAGGACAGCTGCACACCCTCAGCCATCAGCTGCTCCTGTAAACACGCATGTGTTCCCTTCCCTTGAGAAACAAGGTTCCTGAATGTATTTGGTGGCAGTATCTAAGGAAGCTGCTGTCGGCCACTGTTTACATCAAGCTTTCTGTAGCCGCAAAATTGGGGGAAGACAGGCACACCCCATGCAGCCCCAACACAGGCAGAGGAGAGCAGAGCTGCTTGTTCCACAAAGTGTTTGTCAAAAACATTTGCTCTCAATCACATTTCAGAGAGTGGCTTCTACTCATCCAAAGCTCCAGGAGGGCCAGGTGGCCACAAGGCCCAGGATTTCCCTCAATTTATAAATTAGTTGTGAGTCCTCTGCAACCAACATCCCACTACCAGCAAAAGTGATTCCTCAGGAGCCTCACTGGGACCCTTCCTCAGTGAAAACTAGCTGTTCTTTGTCTAGGTGAAGGCTGGTGCTTATTTCGGTTTAGGCTGCTTTGACCTCTGATTATGGAAGATGTCCTGGAACGCTCAGGGGAAGTTATTTAGAAGGCGTGAGTAAGGCAGGTCAAATAGCAAGATCCAAAGGAACAAGGAGGCAGGACAGAGGGAGCACGTGCTGCTGGAAAGGCGGCCACCCAGTGTCACAGAGCTGGAGTCACTCACATGTTTTTCACCCACACGAGGGCGGGGAGGGCAAAAAACCTGGAATATATTTATTTAAAAAGTATAAGCCGGGCTCGGTGGCTCAGCCTGTAATTCCGTGTCTTTGGGAGGCTGAGGTGAGTGGATTGCCTGAGCCCGTGGGTTCGAGACCCGCCAGGGCAGCGAGACCTCATTTCTACAATAAATCAAAAAATTAGCTGGGCGTGGTAGCGCGCGCCTGTATTTCCACTACTTGGAAGGCTGAGGCGGAAGGATCGCCGGAGCCCCGCAGGTCGAGGCTGCGGTGGCCGGGAGCGGCCACTGCACTCCAGTCTGGGCGACAGAATGAGACTCCAACTCAAAAAAAAACACAAAGTATATTTATCCTACATGTTCAAACTTCAGTCACCTTCAAAGTCCTCTCTGTTGGATGCAATACACCTATCAAGATGCTTTTTCCACTGTTCAAAACAGTTTTGAACTCATCAGTCTTGATGCCTTTTAGTGCTTCTGTTTTCTGTTTCACCTCTTCCACGTTGGCAAAATGTGTCCCTTTGAGGACATTTTTCATTCAGGGAAATAAAAAAAAGTCTCGCAGGGTGAAATCAGAGGAATAGGGAGGGTGGGACACAGGGTCATGCCGTTCTTGGGCAAAAACTGCTGAACACTCAGTGCGGTGCAGGCAGGCATGCTTGTAAATTACCCGTGATGAGATGGGCCAACTCGTTGAAAGAATCTCAAAAAAAAAAAAAATCACTGAATTCATCTAGCTGGTCCACTAGGGTTCCTAGAACACTTAACTAGCAGAGAAAGCCTGTACTACAAGAGGTCCGCCCTCCGAAAGATAATTCCGATTTTTTGGGGTGGTCCCTCCTCATATGTCCACACAGCTCCCGAACCAGGTCCAGGGAAACTCACTTTATGTGGTCACTTCACAGTGGGCTGGACGCACGCATAGCCACGTTTTGTGGAAGGGACCTTTCTGAATTTAATCCATGACATCTTTTTCTTTTTTTGAGTTGGAGTCTCACTTTGTCACCCAGACTGGAGTGCAGTGGCTG